GAGCTACATTAGTGACAAGAGATGTAACACTGGGGTTCCCAGAGTATAGCTATTGAAGAGCTTTGTAGTTTCTCATTTATAGTTTTGACTGTATCATGGTAGTTGTTGTTTCATGTTTTAGTTGCTTTTTTGGCACACATAAAATATAAATTTTGATATCTTACTAAATTGGTCATCTTTATGAACAGGCAGAATATGAGGATACAGAAGGTATATGGATTAGTGCCCTGCTCCTGGCTGTTCTGTTCCAAGATGCAAATGTTGTTCTGTCTCCTGCAACAATGCGCATCATTCCTTTACTTTCTCTTCTTTTGAGATCGGATGAGGTGATTGATAGGTTCTTTGCTGCGCAGTCAATGGCCAGTCTTGTTTCTAATGGTACTAAGGGAATAATTCTTGCCATTGCAAATTCAGGTGCTGTTGCTGGATTGATAACCCTAATTGGTTACATAGAGTCCGACATGCCTAACCTTGTTACTTTATCAGAAGAATTTTCTCTGGTACGAAATCCTGATCAAGTTGTTTTGGAGTACCTTTTTGATTTTGAAGATGTAAGAGTTGGATCCACAGCACGTAAATCTATACCTCTCCTGGTGGATCTCTTGAGACCAATGGCAGAACGTCCTGGTGCCCCTCCAATTTCTGTTAAACTCTTGACCCGTATTGCCGATGGAAGTGACACAAATAAATTAATTATGGCTGAAGCTGGAGCTCTGGATGCTCTGGCAAAATACCTGTCTTTGAGCCCTCAAGACTCCACCGAAGCCACAATAACTGAATTATTCAGAATATTATTTAGCAATCCTGATCTAATTCGATATGAAGCATCAGCTAGTTCATTGAATCAACTCATAGCCGTTCTGCGTCTAGGGTCGAGAAATGCTAGATATAGTGCTGCAAGAGCTCTTCATGAACTATTTGACGCTGAGAACATCAGAGATTCTGATTTAGCCAGGCAATCTGTTCATCCATTGGTTGACATGCTTAACTCTGCATCAGAGAGCGAGCAAGAGGCTGCCCTTGTTGCGTTACTTAAGTTGACTTCAGGAAATTCTTCTAAAGCATCTTTATTGACTGATGTGGAGGGAAGTCCACTGGAAAGTTTGTACAAAATCCTGTCTTGTGCTTCATCCTTGGAATTGAAGAGAATCGCTGCACAACTCTGTTGTGTTCTGTTTGATAATTCTGAAGTCAGAGGAAATCCAATTGCCTCTGAATGCATAGAGCCCCTTGTATCACTGATGCATTCTGATACAAGTACAGTTGTTGAAGCTGGGGTTTGTGCTTTTGAAAAATTGCTGGATGATGAACACCAGGTGGAGCTTGCAACGGCCTATGATGTTGTGGATCTCCTTGTTGGATTAGTTTCTGGTACAAGCAATCAGCTCATTGAGGCTAGCGTCTGTTCTCTCATAAAGTTGGGGAAAGACCGGACCCCATGCAAATTGGATATGGTCAATGTTGGCATTATTGACAAATGTCTTGAGCTACTACCTGTAGCGCCCAGTTCATTATGCTCTTCAATTGCTGAATTGTTCCGCATTTTAACAAATAGTAATGCAATTGCAAGAAGTTTGGATGCTGCAAAAATAGTAGAACCTCTTTTCCTAGTTTTACTCCGTCCGGATTTCAGTTTGTGGGGACAGCACAGTGCATTGCAAGCACTAGTAAATATTTTGGAGAAGCCACAAAGCCTTGCAACTTTAAAACTTACACCTAGCCAAGTCATCGAGCCTCTTATTTCATTTTTGGAATCCCCATCTCAAGCCATCCAGCAGCTTGGCACAGAATTGCTATCTCATCTGCTTGCACAAGAACATTTTCAGCAAGATATTACAACAAAAAATGCAGTTGTTCCTCTTGTTCAGCTTGCAGGAATTGGAATATTAAACTTGCAGCAGACAGCAATAAAGGCATTGGAAAATATCTCCACAAGCTGGCCGAAGGCAGTCGCTGATGCTGGGGGTATATTTGAGCTTGGGAAGGTTATTATTCAAGATGACCCTCAGCCACCTCATGCATTGTGGGAATCAGCTGCTTTAGTTCTCTCAAATGTTCTGCACTTCAATGCTGAGTACTATTTTAAGGTTCCTGTGGTGGTTCTTGTTAAAATGCTGCATTCAACAGTGGATACCACCATCATGGTGGCTCTCAATGCATTACTTGTTCATGAAAGGAGTGACAATTTAAGTGCTGAACAGATGACTGAAGGTGGTGCTATAGACGCCTTGTTGGACCTTTTAAGATCTCATCAGTGTGAAGAAGCATCTGGAAGATTACTTGAAGCTTTATTTAACAATGTCAGGATACGACAAATGAAGGTTTCCAAGTATGCAATAGCACCCCTATCGCAGTATCTGTTGGATCCACAAACCAGATCACAGTCTGGAAAACTTCTTGCTGCTCTAGCTCTTGGAGACCTTTCCCAACATGAAGGGCTTGCAAGAGCCAGTGATTCTGTTTCTGCATGTCGTGCGTTGGTAAGTTTGCTTGAAGATCAGCCAACAGAAGAGATGAAAATGGTGGCAATTTGTGCATTGCAGAACTTTGTCATGAATAGCAGAACAAATAGGCGAGCTGTTGCAGAAGCAGGGGGCATACTGATTATTCAAGAACTGCTACTGTCTCCCAATACAGAAATCGCTGGGCAGACAGCATTACTTATCAAATTTTTGTTTTCTAATCACACACTTCAAGAGTATGTATCAAATGAGCTCATCAGATCTTTGACAGGTAATTCACATTTGCAGTCCTCTGGTTCCAATGCTGATTTGTTCCCCTATAGTCTAAAAGACTAAAGCTAAGCTCATTCTCATGTACATTCTTTGTACATATTTATGAGTTGGTAGCATATGTCTTGATAACCATGTTCATGCTGTCGTTTAAATCTTCCATCGAGGTAGTGAAGAGTGGTTCGGTTTGTGTGTATGTGTGTGTTTCAAATACTCTTATCCTTTCTTTCATTGTGTTCTGTTGATTTATTGGATCCAATGATTGCTGTGTCTTGCAGCCGCATTAGAGAGAGAGTTGTGGTCCGCGGCAACTATTAATGAAGAGGTCTTGAGAGCCTTACATATGATATTCATCAACTTCCCAAAGCTCCATATTTCTGAAGCAACCACTCTCTGCATTCCCAATCTGATTGGAGCTCTGAAATCTGGAAGTGAAGCAGCTCAGGATGTCGTCTTGGACACCCTTTGCTTGTTGAGACATTCTTGGTCAACCATGCCAATAGATGTTGCGAAGTCTCAGGCTGTGATTGCTGCTGAAGCCATTCCCATCCTACAAATGCTCATGAAAACCTGCCCACCAAGTTTCCATGAGAGAGCAGACAGCCTGTTGCATTGCTTACCAGGTTGTTTGACAGTCACAATTAAGCGTGGGAACAACCTTAAACAGGCCATGGGAGGCACAAATGCTTTTTGTCGATTGACAATAGGCAATGGTCCTCCTCGACAAACCAAGGTAATGGTTCCATAGACTAGTTATGTACAAAAAGAAACTGTCTATTTCATAGCCCCTTCTCTTAAGTTAGGGGGATGATAAATTGATTGTTTACTCCTGGAAACAGTTACTTTTTCTTGTCTTTCTCCTATTCCTCACTTCATATGAGGTGTCAGATTCTGGCCTCTTTAAAGCACCTGATCAATCCTGGGCCACATGTACCCCAATCCATACATACTGGATATTGGATAATTACCAGGGACCCCTTTGGGGGTGGCTCTCAAGGGATTGGCATGATGGTATTTGGAAATAAATGATTCAAAACATTGTTGCTACTGCAGTGACTTGTCAGCATCTAGGTCTGCACTATAATTTTGACATAGCTGCCTGCAAGTTCCCTAATCTTACATTGGTCTTGCAAAGATTTACGAGTTTATTTGTTTCTTTCTTTGAATCTAGATTATATGTATATGTGTATATATATAGATGAGCTTAGTAAATTTGACTATAAATTTACTGTTTACTTTGCCTCTGGATTTGTCAACACGTGTTGAAGCTGCAAAGTGACTTTGTTTCATACGCTTCTTTAATAAAGAAGTTTCATACTGTACATATTAGTAGTGATGTTTATTACTTGTCTATGCTTTGCAGCTTTTATGTTATACTAAAATGTTGTTTGTCATTAGGTAGTGAGCCACAGTACCTCTCCAGAATGGAAAGAAGGCTTTACGTGGGAATTTGACGTTCCCCCAAAGGGACAAAAACTCCACATCATTTGCAAAAGCAAAAATACCTTTGGAAAGGTAATTAGTTTTCTGTCTCGATCAGCAAGTCATTTACGAGCAGGATGAGCTAATTGTTCAATTTTTTCATAAGTGTAGGCCTTAAACATATATGATGAGTACCCTTCTTGCCTTGATAATTGGCATTGCCACACTAATTATGTTAGTCCCACGAGTTTTTCTTTTCATTTTGTGATTGTTTGTTTTTCTTTTTTCAGACAACTCTGGGAAGAGTGACTATCCAAATTGACAAAGTTGTGAGTGAAGGAGTATACAGTGGATTATTCAGCCTAAATCATGACAGCAACAAAGATGGATCTTCCCGTACACTTGAAATCGAGATTATCTGGTCCAACAGAATGTCCGACGAAGAAACATGAATGCATCCTAAGGTCAGGTGCAGCAATCTCCCCATGAAGCTGAGAATGCCAGATTAAGTATCAAAATGGGGGTGAGGTTGGTCTGCTTGTAATTAATTTTATGTTTTGAAGGTCCAGTTTTGTAGCATGAAAGATTAAGCTGCTTGAGGAAAGTGTAAATTACATTTATTAGCTTGCGGATACAATAGAGTGAAAATGCGTTCCCACTTTATAAGGGAATTTAAAAGCTCAATAGAAGTTTGTACAGGTCGGTCAGTCAGTCTGTAGATGCTATAGCAATCCGAAGATGCTGAAAAGATTGGCGTTTGAAATTCTTGCAAAGTTGGAATAGCTTTTTGTTGTACAGGTGTTGTGTTTCCGTTATAAGATTAACAATAAAATCCTTAATTGTTTCCTCTAATTAGAGCCATTAATTATAGGGAGTTTCACTAAAACACCCAAAATGGGAGCTGAAATTATAAAAAAACTCAACACCCAAAACACTTTATAAACACACCCAAAACCCATTAATACGCACACTCAAAACCCATTCATAAACACACCCAAAAAATATACAATTGTTGACTTTGAGGTTGATTTTGGGTGTGTTTCTATGTTTAAATAGTGTTTGGGTTTATTTATAAATTTGTATTAATTATACTCATGGACAAGATTCTCCATAAGCACATTTGCAGATGACACAAGCCTTAGAGCTCAAAACTTCCCCAAAATTGCCTTGAGGTTTCAAAACTAACATCCGGCATTATAACATCTTGGCATTCTCTCTACTTCTGCATTAACAGAGTAATGAACCAAAACATTTGTCTCATAAACCCACAAATTACACGAGCATAACTACTTCGCAGCAGAAACAAGTGCAGATCGAGCTGTCGTAAAAGTAGCTACCAATGATCCAAGTTGCAACCTATCATTGCACCCAAAGGTCAACCTGTACCTGCGATTCAAAATAACTTGTACTGGTTAATGTTAACTGAAGCTCAGCCAGTTCCGACTTTTAACCGCATAGTCAATTGGTATTGAACAAAATCCAAAAACTAAATCAAAATTATATTGTATCTTTTAATTTTCACAACATGAAAGATTAATTAGAAAGCTTGTCGTAATTTTGTTATACAATCTAGAGTATCATATATTTGCAAGCCCTTAAGGCAGCAATAATTTCTGCTAATGCATTATACCAGTTCCATAATGATTATAGCTGCTTGTCCAATGAAATGACTTTACATCTAATGCAGACAATATTATATTCGCGAAAATATTGACATTAATTTAATCTACACAAAGCCTTTTTGAAGCAAATTGATGCACTCTATCGTTCATTATATTGTGAACATGTGTATCCATTACAACATTGCAATAAGCTTGTATAGTTCAGAATGAAGAAAACAATAAGCAAATGAAAAAGAGAGTAAGACACGGGCACATACTCTATGTCAGCTAAATCATTAATCAACTGAACTCGAACATCTGGTGGCATCTTAATCTTAAAAACGAACCTGTTCAAAGAAAGTAGCATAGATGAGATGAAGCAAGCAAAAATTGTCAAGAACAAATGTAGAAAAATGTGTAAGACTTACATGGTCACTTCTCTTACAATATCTATCAAAGCCAACCCTTTAGTTGTTTTCATATCAGATATTCCTGCAATAAATGAAGTGTAAAATGTAAACACCAAATAACTTTTTCCAGTGGCATACTGCTCTTGCCTATGAGAATAGAATTATCAACAAATAAATAAATAAAATAGTTGAATACGTTTGAAACTCTCAGCAAATGATTCATTCAAAAGCCAGTAGGATATTTGCTCAATGTCTTTGGGCAATGGATTTCCTGTGCAAAGATATACTGCTTCTTCTGTTATCTGCTGCTGTGAAGCCATATGAGTTGACTGTGTACATTGAAATAGGAATCACAGTGTCATTTAAGATCTATTCGTGAAGAAAAAAAAATCATCAATTTCATAATTAAAACTGTCCGTTCAAGATTATTTCTAAATCATACTTAAATACAAAATACTTCAAGGAAGTATGAATAATGCAATTTCTTCTTAAATAAGAAATATTGCCGCCAAAGCAAAATGATTAGAGGAATGCACAAGTAGCAAACTTTTGAAACATTAAACACACTGCAAGAAAAAAATCAGCAAGTCAACCCAACCACAAGTAATTTGAGTTTCTGCTACAACAGAATTCACTTATACAGTCATACTCAATCACATTGACAATATTAGAGACTAAATACAATGACAATATCATTTGATTTCATAAGATTCTAACATAACAGAAAAATTCATTTCTCTAACCTGTCATTTTATGAATCGCTACATAGCCACACACAGATTTTGCACAGAAAAAGAGAGAGGAATAGACAAATCCACAGAAAAGAAACATCAGAGTAGAGATCTTATAACCTGCAAAATGTTCAGAGCCTTTCTCATGTCACCATTGCTAAGCCGCACAACTGCCGCCAAGCCACTCTCAGACACATCAAGCCTAGTCCAATCCATAAATGTCAACATATCATTATATTTCTGACTGAAGCCAGATAGAAAAAGCAACAACCATCCCGTTTACTAGTGAAACACATTTTATGATTCAATCCCCTTAACTAGTGAATCACATTTTTAGAGATAACTCTTGATGCATTTAAGGCAAAAATAAAATTTAAAAATCCCCTCTAGCATGAACTTGTTGAACAATGCGTAAGCCAAAAAAAAAACTCCAGCAGTACACCTCTTCCCACTTAAACCTGATTCTGATGAAACGGATATAAATAGTAAACTGCTACAGAGGGGAACCTTGCATGAATACCAAGGGTAAAATCAGAGCAAAACTTAACTTTCATCTTCTGGAGGAAGGAAGATGCAAAAGCCAACATCTACACTTAGGCAAAATCAGAACACCCAAAAAAATGTGAATTAAACAGTACTTACCCTTCAGTTTCTATAACATGTTTGAGTCTCTCTGAGACATGAAACTCCTCCAGTGGAGCAAATCGAAAACGAGTACATCTTGATTGTAATGCTGGAATAATCTTGTTGACATGATTACAGATTAGTGAAAACCTAGTGTTCCTTGTGTATTTCTCAATCACTACACCAAAAACAAAAGTATAGAAGGAAAAAGAATCAGTGAAATAACTTGGAACTGATAAACTCTAGTGCATTAAAAAAATTCATACCTCTTCGCAAAGCAAATTGAGCATCCTTTGTCATAGCGTCTGCCTCATCCAGCAAGACCAATTTTACAGATGACTTTGCACTGTCACCCCTGAACCCTTGCTAATCAGTTATATAATAAGGTGACACATGTCCAGTGATTATTAAGCTAAAAAGCAAATTATCTTGGAAATTACAACAGACATAATCAGACCGTAAGATTAATTTACATGGCTAATTGTTGAACATGACAACATTGCACTTGTAAATAACATGCACCAACTAGGTCAAATAATATCACAACGCATAGCCATCTGTGGTGGTCTGAAATCTTACAATCTTAAGAAGGGAGAAAAACAACCAGCAGACCAAACCTGGATATCACCAAAATATAAACTAATAAGATGATTAGCACAAATTGAAGTCTTACCCAAATGAGAAACTCTGTGTGCTAGCAAAATCTTGGATCTGTTGTCGCACAACATCAATACCCCTATCATCCGATGCATTCAACTCCAGAATCATATTGTGGTATTGTGCTCCATAGAGCTTGCGTGCCACAGCAAGAATGGTTGAAGTTTTGCCAGTGCCAGGAGGGCCGTACAACAAGAGGTGTGGCAATCTGTTCTCACTAGTAAGCCTATCAACTATTTAACCCCACCACAAAAAAACAAGATGAATGAATCGATAACAAAACAACTAAAGGGAGGATAACAACTTATAAGCATTGAAATTATCCTCATTTATGCTCTTTATAATTGCTGCAACTCATGCAGAAAATTGAAACATTAGGGAAATGAAGCAAAAACCCTAGGCTCTCCTTATTGATGGTAAGCAAGGGAAAAGTGTGCTTCTTTTCTCTATGTACTCCCTTTCTCAAATATATACATGCATACGAATGTAAACACACAAACGAACATCTTTTCGTTCCCACATTTTTCAGGCAACCAAACATTACAGCAAATAATTACAATGGAGAGAAACTAAACAAGCAAAATCAACAAAAACCCTAAAAAGTGCAACACTTGATATGGCAAATCGTGGGAAGAAGAAATTGCTTACTGGTGTCGACAATGTCGCGGTGAGCGGCGACATCTGCGAGTGACTGAGGACGGTACTTCTCGACCCACGGCGTAGCTTTGCCCTGGGAAGGGGCGGCGGCGACAACGACGTTTATGCCCTTGTTGTTGTTGTTGGGTTTTGGAGATGGGTTGTTATCGTCGTCGATGTCCATGACAGTGATCACCTCCGCCATGGTAGAGTCGACTTCTTAGCTCTTCTCACTGAGAATCGGAGGTTTTTCAGCGAGCCCAGCCAGCAATGGCGCCAACTTGATTTTTGAGGGTGGGATACCCTTTTGGGCTGTTTGGCCGAAAATAAAAATAAAATCTACATATTGGGCTTTGCTTCTCTGGTAAAAACCATAATAATACTAATTTTATTATGAGCTACTTCTGCTCATAATCATCTTTCTTAAGCGGTTTATTAGGTGCGACTTGAAATTTTTATTTAAAATCCAAATATTTTCTCAAGTGATTCATGAAGAAGCACATATAAGTTGATTAAATTTAGTAATTGTGTCCAGTCCAGTTGAAGAAGACATTGACTTGCAGTTTCAGGTTTGAATTTCTATAACATTTTAGTTGTGTGTGTGAGAAATTTCCCTCTTTTTTAGTTTAGATTATCGATTATACTCAAAAGTTGATCGAAGTTAATACACTTTAGGAAATTTCTTGACCCACAAATATTTTAAATTTTTCTGTCAATCTCTTTCAGTGACCTTTTTAGTTGTCACCTTTAACAATTTAAAAAGCAGTCCCAAACATATGAGTTGCATATCAAGTGTTTTGGAGGTCTTGACTACAACAATACCAAACTAGTACCAAATGTTAATGACCAAAGTTACTATAATCAGGTCGGCCGTGTTTTTGTTTGTTTTAATCTAAAAAAATTGAGGAAAAAATGTTTACAAAATTACTGCCCTGTTTGATAATTATTTTAGTGTCTATTTATAGAGACCATTTTATAAAAAAGGAAAAAGTTGAAAAGGTCACATTGGCTATATCACACACGGCCAAAGACAAAAACTTGACGGAATTTAATATAGGTATATTCTTCCCACTAAAAAACAAGGAAAAAGGAAAAGCAGAAGAATCGTCGGAAGGGCATTTTGGACATTTTACTAGGCATTGAAAATGAAAACCACAGGGCGCAGACAAAAGGAGAAGAAATTCAAAGCACCAAATACTAAAACCAAAGTCTTGTTTTTGGAGGGAGGAGAGGAGCGCTCAGCCTCTCAAACACCAAAAAGCAGCTCTACCCAGCGGGCGCCAGAGAAGGCTCTCTCTCATTTAAACCTCCACTCTCCTCCCACTAACTCTCTCTAAACCCAGCTTTTCTCTCTCTACACCCAGCAATGTTCTCCGGCGGCACCTCAAGCTCAAGGTCACAAAGATCCTCCATCTCGCCTTTCCGCTCCCGGAAGCCTGCGGGGTCCACAAAGCCCCCTACGGCGTCGTCTCGGCCGGCCACCCCTTCTTCTTCCACTACGTCGTCTCGGCCCACCCCGTCCAAGCCCTCTCTGTCTCCGCCCTCTTCCTCTGCCAGCCCCAACCCGCCGTCCCCGCCCAATGTCTCCAAGTCCAAGGAAAATGTCACCGTCACCGTCAGGTTTCGCCCCCTCAGGTACTGCTTCTTCTACGATTGGGCTGTTACCTACTTCTCCGTCACCGCCGGGGTGCTTATTTTAGTTTTTTTAAAAAGAGAAATTGATGTTTTGGTTGAAATGTGGGTTTTGACTTTTGGTTTGGGCAGTGCTCGTGAGATTAACAAAGGGGACGAGATAGCGTGGTATGCAGATGGGGATTATACAGTGAGAAACGAGTTCAATTCTTCCATTGCTTATGGCTTTGGTGAGTGTTTTTTTTTCCTCACTAATTTTGCATTCAATTATGCTCTTTTTGTTGTTGCTTCAATTTCTGTAGTTATAGACACAAGTATATTTGACTCATAAGCTGCATTTGGAAGTTATGGACTTTGGCATATATTGTTTTATTTGTTTATCGGTGAGTTGTTAGAAACTTTGGTTTTTTAACAGATAAGGTTTTTGGTCCGGCAACAACAACACGCCATGTCTATGATGTTGCTGCACAGCATGTTGTCGGTGGTGTTATGCAAGGGATTAATGGTAAACAGTTTACCCTAATGTGGTTTTAATTATTTTGTTGTTTTCTGATGCAGATATTATATAGGAAGGTTAGTATGTAGATGGTGATGGATATCTTGTTGCTGGCTAAAAACTGCTCTGTTTGTATGCAGGTACTGTGTTTGCATATGGTGTTACTAGTAGTGGGAAGACGCATACAATGCATGTAAGTTGATGGAGTCTAGAGTATTTGTCTAAAGTCTGGGGTTGTCCTTTCTAGGCCAATATTTTCACTAGCTCATTTTGGACTTTATGGCTACCAGCTGTTCATAAATTTTGCATCTGCAAACTATAGCTGTCTCAGACTGATGCATTGATGCCATTTGAAAAAGAGTCCATGTCATAAGCAGCATTGTCAGTTGTGTTTTCTTTACATTTCACCCCAGTGAAGGGATTCCTTCTTATTCTTCCTGCAGTTTTCTTGCTCATTGTGGACCTTACTGTGATAGATATCTTACTGTGACAGATATCACACGTCTTTCAATTTTTCAGTGTTTGTAGTTTTTATTTTGTATTTCAGGGGGAGCAAAAGTCACCTGGAATTATTCCACTGGCAGTGAAGGATGTTTTTGGAATTATACAAGAGGTAATGGATTTCTCAATTATTAGTAATCTTATTTTTATATATGTATTGTATTTATTTATTTTGAGTTTACATAACCTTTTTATCATGTGTCAGACACCTGGGCGGGAGTTTCTTCTTCGTGTTTCATATCTGGAAATTTACAATGAGGTCAGTTTTATCTAGTTCCTTTGTCTAAAGCTTTCAGTTGGAATGTGGTCATTGTTGTATTAGTCTTTTGAAGTGTAATTTCATTAGGATGGGTAGTGATATATTACCATCTTATTCTTTTGTTCCTTTTGTTTTTCCAGGTCATAAATGACTTACTTGATCCAACAGGACAGAATTTACGAATAAGAGAGGATGCTCAGGTGCTTATGTTCATAAAGGAATTGACACTCTTTTTGTGTGCTGGGCTCTTTCTGTTTTTTTTTTGCTCAACGATAGCTCTTGAAAGATCTTTTCCCTTTTGGTTAGGTTTCTTGCATGTTTTTTTTCTTTATCTAAAGTTCTAAACTGACATACTGGAAATTTTGTATGCTATAAATGTAATAATGTGTATGACTCTAAGAGGACAAGGAAATATGAGTATAGTACAGGAAAACTAAGTTTCTGCACATGGAGTTGGCATGAGTATGGTCTTTGGCCACCTAGAGGATTTCAGCCTACATAATCATACTCTAGAAATAATTTAGAATATGGCCTTTGGATATAGATAAGTTTTAAGATATGTTTAATGGAAAAGAGACAGTTCCAGTTCTTAGAAATCATCTAGTTCATAGTCAATGGTATGGCTTGCCCCAAGCCACCTAGAAAACGGGGTTGTGTCTCGGAAACTCTCTGGAAACATGTTGTGTATGTCTTGCCCCTTGACCATGCATTGGCGGGAGTCTTGTGCATTATGCTGCCCTTTATGTATAGCCCTGATTCATCAATCTTTGCCTCATGTTGCAGTTATAGTATGTTTAGCATCACCTCTTCCCCTTCTCTCATATGCATGATAGAATTTTTTGGCTCAAACTAGTAGTTTTTTGGCCTATGTATTCTGGTGACAAACTTTCACCTGGCAATTTAGCACCCTTAATTCTCAAAAGAAGAGCGACTTTCTCTTCTTTGATTGATACGTAGTATTATGTCAGTTTCAAGGTTTGTCTTTAAATAATTGATTCCTTTGACATTTACTCAAAACTAACCTTAAACCATAAACCTTATCTCCTGAACTGGAACCAGATCTGGTTCTGATTTAATTTCAAGTAATTTGTATCTTGAACTTGTGCGTTTCAGGATTCGTAATTAACATTGACTAAATGCCCTCCAGTTCACATATTGTTGGAAGTAGTTAGACTGATTTGCCAAAATTGTTTAACCTTATCATTTGAAAGTTTTATTTTATTGGGCAGGGAACCTATGTTGAAGCAATCAAAGAGGAAGTTGTTTTATCTCCTGCTCATGCTCTTTCTTTGATAGCAACAGGAGAAGGTATTAACATGATTACTTTTGTCTACACGATATGGGTGGAAACTTTATTGTCTCTGCTTAATGTTCGTATCTGAATCTAATATTACAATTTCATAGGCATTGATGAGCACTGCATTCCCTTTGTCATTTTTCTACACATTGTTGTTGCTTTTCCATCCCATTTGCGTATTCTCTGTATCTTTGCCAGCCACTGTTTGTGCTGCTGAGCACCTTTAACATTCATTTTTTCCTTGAAATTGCAGAACATAGGCACGTTGGTTCAAATAATTTCAATCTACTTAGCAGTCGCAGCCACACTATATTCACATTGGTAACTTTTTTTATTTAATTTCAATGTGATAAAGGTGTCTATTCTGTCACACAAAGCCAGATTCTGTTAGGTTGTTGCCTTTTTTCATCT